ATTGCTATTTTCTAATGTATCAAGGCTATAATAACACACTTCCATGATTTTTTTCAAAATATGATCTTTATTTTCAATTTTACACTCTGTATCTCCGGAGATACGTTGTCCATTTAGGGTATAAATGTAATTTTTTTTCAATTTTTAAAATATTTAATTTTTTAACTTTTAAAACATGTTTCAGACAATTAATTAGCTACTCTTTCAAACCTTGCAAAACTTTTTGAAAAAACTTGGAAAAACCTGAACAATTGATGATTCACATATGTGTTGAGCGCTGGAAACAAGTCTATGCAAAAAGTCTATAAACAATGAGCTAAGTTACACAACCAAACTAACATATGTACAGAAAACATCTTTCTCTTGTTCTAAGTGTAACATCACCCCTCTGGAGCTTTTACACTAGCAACATCCCATGTTGCAATGGAAACTGAGGAAACAGTTGCGAGCATTTTGACCAGTGACAATGCAAAGCCTCACATTGCACTTCTGACACATGATAGAGGTCTGTCCATCCTGGCACATCCTGCATCGACCTTTCACTGACAGAAAAGGAAAGTGGTCAATCTTGTCATATCTCATATCATCCACAGGCCTGGGGACTTTTGGCTGTTTGATTACTTTTGGTGGTATGTTGTTTCCATTGTCTTTGGAGGGGCGTCCCCTTTTCTGCTTTTCAGGGTAGATGAGTCCTTTGGCAACATCCAACCTAAAGTCCTTCAGACACTGGTGTTTCTGACCAAGTGGGGCTGCATCACGACGGTGGAGAAGCCAGGCATTATTGACAGCAATGTCAACTATCTGCCAAAATATGGCTAGGTACCATCGGTGGGAATTTGCTGGAGTGTGATACAGGGAAATCATCATGTCAGCCAAATCCACACCTCCCATGTGAGTGTTGTACTCAGCCACTATCTTTGGACATGGCACACTTATCTTCTTCTTCTCCTCTTTCGAGTAGCGTCTCACTTGGCCAAGAGGGTTGACAGAAGCACAGGAGCTCACCAAGGTGACTGTTTTGTTGTCTGCCCATTTGACCACAGCGAGCTTTGCATCATTGTCTACACAAAAGTCAAAACTGCCTCTTCCTCTTTGGAGGAGATCTCGATCTTCTGCCAGTCTACAACCCTTCAAGCGGTTCTTTCGGATGGTACCCAAACTTCTGAGGCCCATGGACTCTCTCAGATGGCTTATCAGACTCAACGATGTGAAAAAGTTGTCAAAGTAGACAACACAGTCGCAGGGATTTCTGATTGTTCTGCACAGCTGCAGAACAACATTTCCACCCAACCCAAACTCCTTTTCCGGAGTTTGAAGAGCACCATCAAATGTAGACTTCCCTGTGTAAACCATGAAGTCGTACACAAAGCCAGAGACACCAGCTCGCACAAAAATCTTGAACCCCCATTTCTTGGGTTTGCTGGGTAGATACTGCCGAAGACTGCCAGCTTTCTTGCCTTTGTAAGGAACCATCATTTCATCAATTGAGAATTGGTTCTCACTCTCAATTTCCATGAACCTGTTCCTCATGTAGTCAAGTATAGGCCTTAATTTTAGCAGGCGATCTTCACTGGTGTCAGAGCTCAAGTTATCATGAAAATGGAGCATCCTGGATAAACACTTGTATCTCCTGAGAGGCATGACATCTGCTACTTTTTCATAGCGTGTATCTGTTGCCCAGGAGTTCTCCACAGCTGGCATTTTCACTACACCCAAGATCAGCTTCATTCCAATGAATGCCTTAACTTCAGAGACATTGGTGTTGATGCTGCTTCCAATGAGCTGACATGAATACAAGTTTGTCTGGTGAGCAATGGCCTCAAAGATGTCCTCATCAAAGAATTTGGCAAAGTACATTAGTGGAGTGGAGAGTTCATCTGGTGCAATGAAATGATTTTGTGTGGCAGTAGACTGGTGCTCAAATTCTTTTTTTCTCCACCTATTGAAAAATAAAAACATTTTTTTAAAAAGTAAAAAAAATACACACCCCTTCAACCCTACAACATCACTGGATTTTTCACATAACAATTTATTATAATGCTCTAATCAATACCTGAACATCCTTCTTTGTTTTCTCTGACTTTCTACCTCCTCTGCCTCATCACTGGAGCTACCACTTAAATGGTCACTGCTGCTGCTGTAACTATCCTCACACTGGCCCTGTGTATACAACTCATCTTCTTCATCTTCTGTGCTACTTCCCTCATCTGAATCCGATGAATCATCAGGTGGCAAAACTACAGATGTCGCCACTCTTTTTCTTGCAGTGTAAAACATGCTCACTGAAATTCCCTGAAAATGTGTAAATTTCTGGTGAATTAATCAGTAATACACATTTAGTAGTAAAATAAAGAGTAATAAATACTTCACAGCAAATATGATTATTATATGATTGACCATCTGTAGAGTGTAGTCCCTAAAACACAAGTATATCTGAGAGTGAGTGTTTCTGTTTTATACCCCTATCTGGACAATGCGTCCCCCAGGATACAGACATTCAATGCCTCATTATCAAAGCTGTGTAAATGCAATTCATTATCTTTAAACAACAATACATAAAATCATCCTTAAAGAACAATATTTTATTAAAGCAAGTCCTACCAAAATATAATAAACATGAAAAAAATCAGAGCTTACCTCATGACCAGTGTCTTTGTCCATGTTGGCTGCCATTTTGGAATTTGATGGAAATGTATCAATATAGTTTTGAATGCTGGCATGAAGTCACATGACCTGGTACTTGACCCAACCCCCCCTTAAGTTTTTGCCATAGTAGCAAGTGCAGATATTTAATGCCCCTCCCCCCTACAGCCTGCCAGATGTTTGTATCTCCCAGGATACAGAAACCGTTTAAGGGTTAACACACGTGGATTATGACGATTTGACACAATAATGTTTGATAAGTGTTCCCATTTGGCCTCACTACCAGTATTATGGTAATGATGCCAGCAGTCCTTTAAGATTTGAAATGAAACCTGCAGCTTGTCTTTCTTCCACCTGCGTTCAGCTCTGCGGCATTCCTGTCGAGCTGCACAAGTTCTGTCAGTGAACCAGGGCTCAGGCTTAGCTTTAGGCTGCCTGGTTTTTAATGGAGCCACTGAGTCCAGGATGGTTTCGCAGGAGGAATGAAACCAAGAACTGAGCTCCTCCTTATCAGCATAAGTTGAAACAGACGGGACACAGAACCGCTCAGCAACAGCAGAGAACTGGCCGGCAGTGAAAGGGTTAAAAATCTGACAGCACTGAGCAGGAGTGCGAGTTTTAACTGCAGCATAGGAGAAGCTCACCTCAAATAGTACAGACTTATGGTCAGAAACCACATCATCACCAATCTCGAGGTTAAACACAGACAAACCATGAGAGAGAACGTCCAGCGTATGTCCATGTTTGTGTGTGGGACCAGACACACACTGCACCAGATTAAGAGTCAATAAGGCTTATGAAGTCCTTCACCATTGTTTTATCAGTACAGCACACATGTATGTTAAAATCCCCAACAATAAGGACACGATCATAGATAGGCATGAGTCGAGCCAAAAAGTCAGAAAAGTCGTTCACAAAGTCCTTATTGTATTTGGAGGGTCTGTAAATGACAGCGCACAACACCGGGTCACAGCAACCCACCTCACATAAAGTCAGTTTGAAGCTGGAGAATGAAGATGACAGAGCGCACTGCTTACATTTATAGTTACTTTTATAAACAGTCGCCGTCCCTCCTCCACGGCCCGACGTCCGCAGCGAGTTAAAGTAGGAACAATCAGCCAGTAAAAGTTCACGAAGAGTGCTGAACTCACCGTTCCCGAGCCAAGTCTCCGTCACACAGAGGAAATCCAAGCCACGGGAGCTGAAGAAGAACAATAATACCAACAAAAGTGAGAGCGACGGCCAGCCACACACACCAGCGCCATCTTTGAATGCTTAGCACCTGACCTTTTCAAAGAAACATCTAAAATTAAATGAAAGCCCTGCCCTGGGTAAGTGAGTGGGCTGGACTTGAGTAGTGAATGATTGGACAGAAAAGGGCCTTGTGACACCCTGACTCCGTGCCCAAGAAGCCCCATTTCAGATGTCAGATTTGACGATTTATTTTGGAATGGCATACATTTGGTGCTTGGCGGTGACTTTGTTTGAGTGATGGTCCATAACAATCCGAGCAACCATGACACAGACAGTCCCTGAGATCACAAACCACCAAACCTGATGTTGAACCTGATGTGAACAGATGAGTAGAGTCACCTTGAAATCACATGGACTTTAATGGAATTAGCCTATGTGTAGCGACAAGCGTGTTGCATTTCTTTTGAATTTGTGCACGTAGCATTGCCTTTTCATCTGAATGCATAGAATCAGCAGCATACTGAATGCAAACACATGAACGTCGTGTAGTAGTAAAAATGTAGTGGTCAAATGTTGGCAAGGCAGGCTGCAGGGAGAAACTAAGCACAGATATGACTTAGGAGCACTCTTAATAATGTTGGCTGATACTTTGTTGTCACAAAACACAATGATGTTTACCATTTATCTACCTGCCAGAAGGGGAATAGATTGTGACAGAGTGGAAGGATGGACACCCTTTGGTCAAACATCTGCAAAAAAGTAATTAAAGAACACCCCAAACCTACCAAGACAGCAGCGTGACAAAAGAACCTTGAGGTGGCCAATGATTCTAGTGTGTCATATAAAAGAAGGTTATGTTATTGGAGTGCCTGTATCATGGTGACCCATTGGGAGTCTGATCGCGGGTCTTCATGTCAAGATGACAAGCAACTTATCCACGATTCAGAAAGGTTGAGAAGTCTGGACACAAAGAGCTGCCTGACAAATCACTAATGTCGCATGATAAAGGTGCCCTAGCGAAGCCCATATGCACATACTTCATCATAGATTAAGATGATATAGCATCAGCAAAACTTCTCTAAATAGATCTAACTTGTCCTGTGGCAGGTACTCATTTACTGTATCTAGACATAAAGTCAAGCTACAGATAATGGCCAGATATGGCCTGCGGGCCTTGAGTTTGACACATATGATCTATGAGGTCCACTTTCATAAAATGAGCATCTGTACCATCCACCCATTTTCTATACACCACTTTATTCTCTGTAGTGTCGTGGGGTGGCTGGAGCCCATCGAAGCTGGCTTTGGGTGAAGGCAAGGTTCACCTGGAAAGGTAACCAGTCCATCACAGGTTCAACAAAGAGACAGGCGACAAGACGCACTTACATTCACACCTATGGACAATTTAGAATCACCAATTAACCTCGGCACGTCTTTAGACTGTAGGAGGAACCCAAAGCACTCGGTAAAACCCACGCAGGCACAGGGAGAATGTGCAAACTGCCAGGGACAGACTGTAAGAGCCATTGAAGTTATGAAAGTACTACCTTTCACCACTATAGCAAATGCAGTAGCTGCCCATGCCAGTTAGAGCGATAGCAACACAGATTAATGATTTACTCACACGAATGCGACCACTTGAATTTTTATCTTGCATGCTTTAAAAAATGTAGTCCCAGTCTGGAGCCCTTGTTGGGACTGTTGATGCATTAAGCCTCTATTTTTGAGGATCTGATGATCCGATGATCAACTTTACTGTGCCAGACTCTATAAGTTCAAAAGCTACCTTAAACACAGTCATTAAAATATTTTATAACCTTGAATCATGCGCTTGGGAATAACAGATATTTCAACAAAACCATCAAGACTTTTCCTTCACAGCCTGATTCAGATGAACTAAACAGAATTTAACTAGACTGGTATCATTACTTGCCACGGTGCTCCGGTGGATTGGCTATGATGTCACTCTGGTGGGCGGAGACAGCAGACTTGAACCCAGAAGTTGCACAGAAGGCAACAGGTAAAATCGGAACTTTTGCGATCTTTTGCACCGCAATGGCCAATCAGCGTTGAGATTCTCTGGTGACGTCAAGAACATGATTCATTCATTTTTTTGCAACTACACTGTGAATACTGATTCACTCACCCCAGGAGATAAGTAGCTACATTACTGGCCAAGGCAGATCTCAGTGCTCAGCAGACTGGCTGTCCTTCTCCTCCAGTCCACACACAAGAATGCTACCCTTCAACTTAGCAAGCTCACAAGACGAGTTGCTAGCTATGGCAATGCTAGCGGGATAAACCTCCGCTGGCTCCTCGTCGCTGTGGTCAACGTACTCCTGCTCGTCTGTTAATGCGGTAATGACGGTAATCCAGACACGAATCTTGACGCGCGAATGGCGCGACTTATTCCCGCGAATGAAGCAAGTAAACTCAGTGCACAAACACATGCAATTAGCACAATGAATTTGCGTCTGGTGTGAACACAGGATTTTAGCGCTTAAATTAGAGTTTGTGGTGTTTAGAGGAGAGACTGGTGAAGGACTAGAGGTGACATGTCAAGAGGATGGTAGGTATGATGACTTCCAGAGCAGAAGCGGGATTAAAGGTGAGCTCCGTCTGAAATAAAGCAAAAGCTCAATTATATATATATATTTAGCATCTTTTTTTGACTTTAACTTTAATTTGGGTCTCCAGTTGGTGTTTGGGTTAAGTTTAGGCACCAAAACTACTTGGTTTGGAAAAGGATCAGGGTTTGGGTGAAAACACACCCTGTCATTCAATCAAGTTCTATTTTTTTTTACTTTTCCAGGATGAGGACTCTACATGAGCTTTTATTCACACAGCATCAAGAGTCCATCTTAGTTTTGGGGTTTTGATTCTGTGCAATAAGTCAGTCCTGCTTGTTTTTTCAGTGGATTATCCATTTTGGTCACAGTGCTGCCTGCAAATGTTCCACAGCAACAACTAATAACACTCCTACTGAGCCTACTAGATGTTGGATGAGGTCCGTGTGAATGATGTACTGAGATAATGGGCATTTAATGGGCTCATAACATCTGAAGTGCACAAATTAAAATTTAATACAAGCATGGATTTAATATGAGTCTGCTTATCTTTTCTCACAGACGGACACCAAAAAATGTGCACACGCAACCTATAAATATTCCCAACTCTATCTGCTCAGCATTCTCTCTCCCCGCGCTACCATCAGACACCTTTGTTTCAGGAGAACCAGTGGATGTGCGAGTAAGTCAGTTGGAGCATTGATGTGTGTCTGTCCTTTGTGTAGATGGAATTGGTGTTACATCTAGTATAGCTACAATTTCTGAAGTGTCTGGCTCACAGTGGGGTTTGAACCTAATTTGATCTTTATCTACACTTACAGATGCTGAGTTTAGACAAAGTTCCTTCTGCTATGAATGTAGGAGGAAAGGTCAGTGGCATAGTGGGTAGCCTTTCACTCACAACAAGAGATGGATCCGGTATTCCTGTGGAGAACTTAAGTGAGGATATTGAGGTAAGTGCTACATGACTGCAGCACCTGAGGTTTGTTTTATTGTGGGATTACCTGGAAGTGACATGTTCAGTGTGGGGGCACACACTTTCTTTTACAAAAAGCAGGTTTCATTTTCAATATGAGGCCAAATTGAGGGAGTTCATAAGAAGGATCAGTCTTTGAAATGAAGACAAGATCAGACCAAGTCAAGTGGATATTTTGATGTTAAAAATTGTAGTAAGTACAATAAATTTGGCTTACGGCTGCATTTAGGTTTAAGTAGTTAATGCTGCAGACAGTAGGCAATCAATCTGTCTTTTCTAACTGGAGTAGAGTCACACTGTCAAAGTTTTATTTAACGCGTCATTTACACCTAAAACCTCTCGCATGCATGTTAAATTGTTTATCTTTAAAAGGTTTACACAATTTCTCATCTTTTGCAGCGCAAATAGTGGAGACACTGATTGGAATAGGAAATAGTTTATAAATCTTTTATCATTTCAACTTCCATTACTTTAATTTTCCATTCTGGTAGCATAGCAACAGGTATGCACACCTTCCTCTTTAAAATACTTGGCAACAGAAGAAGTGTTTTTCACTCCACAATAAGGAGAGCTCTTACTTTAAAAAGGACTGAAGGAGGTGATGCTGTTGACAGTGATTTTTACGGTATCACAGCAACCTGTAATACATCAGAAGAGATTTTTAATCACCCCACTTTCATGTGCACCACCTGTGCTACATGCTCTGAGCACCCCCCCAAAAAAAAAAAAATAATAAGACTGAATAATAGGGACCAGAAAGTTTACTGTTTATGAGTACATACCCTGTTGCAATTATTTACATCCATGAAAAAAGAAGAATGGAAGACATACTTTTCCTCAACTATGATAATAAATCCTACCATAAAAAAAACAATATTCACAAAACAAATACTTCAATGTAGTAATAACTTCAGACTAAATCATAGTAAAACTTTCTAACTGGAGACAGTAGAAAGCACATTGGTAAATATTCTACATGCATTTAAATATTTCACTAATCAGACAGTGCTCATGTTATAAAGAGTCTTTCTCCATTTTAGTAAAGGAAAAATATCAAAATCTGCCAACTAAATCGTTACCAAACAATTTCTTCACCAATATGTTTGTAAAGGTGTGTAATAACATGCCTTAAAATGTTGAAGTTCAACTCCCGTGGGAAACCCTGAAAAAAAAACCTGCTCATGCTAGGGTACCGATAAACAATTACCGAAAAATTGATTTTTTTTAAAAATTGGGCCTTAAGTAACTCATGAGGGGTCAAATCAGGGTTTTTTCATGATTCTGAGTTGATTGTTAGCATTTATATTTCACCACAGACACTCCATTGTTGAAAAAGGCCACACTCATGTTTACATTTACATTCACAGTTGCTTTTATTTCATATACAGCTCAAAAAAATAAAGGGACACTAAAATGACACATCCTAGATCTCAATGAATGAAATATTCATAATATGAGAACAAAATAACATAAAAATGATCAATGTAAATCTAAATTATTATCCCATGGAGGTCTGGATTTGGAATCATATTCAAAATAAAAGTGGAAAATCACATTACAGGCTGATCCAGCTTCAGTGGCAATTCCTCAAGACAAGTCAGAATGAGGCTCAGAAGTGTGTGTTGCCTCCACGCGCCTGTAGGACCTCCCTACAATGCCTGGGCATGTTCCTGATGAGGTGGCGGATGTACTCCTGTGGGATCTCCTCCCATCATCAATGCCTTTGTCATGTAGGAACTGCTGACACACTTCAGCCACATGAGGCCTAGCATTGTCATGCATCAGAAGGAACCCAGGGTCCACTGCACCAGCATAGGGTACCACAGTGGGTCTGAGGATCTTATCCCGGTACCTGATGGCAGCCAGGGTACCTCTGGCTAGCCCATGGAGGGCTGTGCGTCCCTCCAAAAAATGCCTCCCCACACCATTACTGACCCACCGCCAAACTGGTCATACTGGAGGATGCTGCAGGCAGCAGAACGTTCTCCACAGCATCTCCAGACTCTGTCACGTCTGTCACATGTGCTCAGTGTGAACCTGCTGTCATCTGTGAAGAGCTCAGGGCGCCAATGGCCAATCTGCCAATCTTGGTGCCAATCTTGGTGTTCTCTGGCATTTGCCAGTCGCCCTGCACTGTGTTGGGCGGTAAGCACAAGCCCCACTGGTGGATGTGGGGCCCTCATACCACCTCATGGAGTCTTTTTCTGACAGTTTGAGCAGAAACATGCATATTAGTGGCCTGCTAGAGGTCATTTTGCAGGGCTCTGGCAGTGTTCCTCCTGCACAAAGGAGGAAGTAGCGGTCCTGATGCTGGGTTGTTGCCCTCCTACGGCCCCCTCCTTGTCTCCTGGTGTACTGGCCTGTGTCCTGGTATCTCCTCCATGCTCCGGACACTGTGCTGAGAGACACAACAAACCTTCTTGCTCGCATTGATGTGCCATTCTGGATGAGCTGCACTACCTGAGCAGCTTGTGTGGGTTGTAGATACCGCCTCATGCTACCTCTAGGGGTGAGAGCACTGACGGAATGCAAAAGTGACCAAAACATCAGTCAGAAAGGATAAGAACAGTGACATGGATCACAATAAAGATTGCGCTGGTGGCGCTGGTCATGGCGACACGAAGCAGTGTGTGAGACGGGTGCTAACGTGGCTGTTTCTTAATGTGTTTTTTTTTTTTTTATCACTTATTTTAACTCATTCTTTTAAGTGTACGTGAGGGATAATGGCGGCAGGGAATCACCCAAGTTTGATGGAAATCCTCTTGCTTTCTGCACTTTTATGCCACTTTTTACATGGAGTTTGGGGTTGTGGGAAACCCATCCAGTACAGCCGTGACTTTTTGCTCCTGCTCCATGACTCCGGGATCGGCATCGTGGATTCCTCTGCAGCTGTCCCCACGGAGATCTACCAGCTGAACCCACCCATGGGGAACTGGACCCGGGCCTCTGGGCAGAGGCGTACGAGGAAGATAGGGAGGAGCGATGGATTGCGCCAGAGGCTGAAGCGGCAGGACCACTGTCGGATACCCCTTCCAACTGTCATCCTGGCGAACATTCAGTTGCTCCGGAATAAAGTCGATGAGCTTCAGGGCAACGTCAAATACCTGGCTGAGTACAGGGATGCCTGTCTTTTGTCCCTGACAGAGACATGGCTTAAAGAGCTGGACCCTCAGTCAGATCTGGAGATTGATGGTTTTGGAGCTCCATGTCGCCTTGACAGAGACCCCGCAGTGACTGGCAAGTCACTCGGCGGGGGGGTGTGTCTCTATGTCAATGAAAACTGGTTTAAGATGGTGATTGTCAGGGTGACACTGTGCACACAAGACATTGAACTATTGTCTGTATTACTTCGACCTTTTATCTGCCCAGAGAATTCCCACAAGTATTTATTACTGTGGTTTATATCCACCCAAAATCTAATTAATTAAGTAGCCACCCAGGCTATGCTAAAAACAGTGCAGCGGCTTCACGGGATAGCGCCGGACGCTCCACACCTTATACTGGGCAACTTCAACCACTGCAACCCTTCAAAGTCCTTATGCAACTTTTATCAATATGTGACATGCCCCACTAGACAAGCAAAGTGTCTCGACCTTTGTTTCGGATCCATGAAGGGTGCATACAAGTCTTTTAGCATAGCTCCGTTGGGCATGTCCGACCATAGCGTTGTTTACTTGATTCCGTCATACAAATCTGTCCTGAAGAGGAACAAGTCAGAGAGAGGTTTGGTTCCGGTTTGGTCAGAGGAATCAACTTCTGCCTTCAGGACTGCTTCCACTATACAGACTGGATTTTATTCAAAAAAAGTCTGTGTGGATCTTGACAAACTAACTGAAGTGGTCTCTTCTTATGTCTCTTTTTGTGAGGCCTCCATCATTCCTTGGAAGGAAATTTCCTTCTATCGGAATAACAAGCCATGGGTGACAAAAAGTGTCAAAAATATAATTAATCAAAGAAACATTTGCTTCTTACAGGGTAACACTGTACAACAAAGACAGCTTCAGAAACAGTTCAAAAAGGAGCTCAAACTTGCCAAGTGCAGGTACAAGGACAAGGTGGAGAGCATGCTCAGTGCAGGCAGCTCTTGCCCTGCTTGGGAAGGGGTGAAATCTATGATGGGGATGCAGTCCAAAAAAGGTCATATCACCCTTAACGGAAAGTCTGCTCTACTGCTTTCCAACGAACTGTATCGTTTTTACAACCGCTTCAATGTGATTTTAGTAGTGAACTGTCAGCTTTTAGAAATATTGGCTCTTCTCAGAGCAGTATTGTTGTTTGTAGTAACAAAGTCTGTGAACTCTTCCGTGGCGTCAAGGAGAGGAAAAGTCCTGGCCCTGATGGCATTGGAGGTCGTGTTCTTAAGCACTGTGCTGTCCAATTGGCAGATATATTTAGTTTTATCTTTTTAACGTCCCTCCAGCTCCACAGGGTTCCCTCTCTGTGGAAAGACTCCATTATTGTTCCTGTGCACAAGTCGGCATCTCCCAAATCCTCAAATGACTTCAGACCTGTTGTATTCACCTCCCTGGTCGTGAAATGATTTGAGAAAATTGTCAGAGTCTATTGATTCTTGTTTTATTGAGTCTCTTTTAACCTTTTCTTTTATTTGCTGGTTTGGCTCCCTCACTCTTAAAAACAAAAATAGACTACAAGGTATTGTTAGACTGTGCGGAAAAACAGCAGGGACTAGCCTAAATAACTTTGCAGCCCGACATCAAACCAGACTACTAGCCAAGGCCCGTTTAATCACCACAGACCAGAGCCATCCCTTGGCCCACTGGTTCCAATTACTTCTGCTGGGGTGCAGGTATGTCCTGCCAAAGTGCAGGACCAATAGATATACATTTTCTTTTGTCTCTGCTGCTATTTCCTTGTTAAATAAGTGATCGGTCTTGTCTTTTCGCTGTTGTTTATTGTTGTTGTTGCCTGTGTGATTGTGGCAGTGACTGTCTCATTGCTGGCTGCACAAAAATTTCC